CTCTCTCTCTCTCTCTCTCTCTCTCTCTCTCTCTCTCTCTCTCTCTCTCTCTCTCTCTCTCATCCTGGAATTCACCAATCAGTCAGGCATCTCCCGGCCTTTGCCTCTCAAACAGTGGGATTATTAGAATGTACCTCCATACCTGGCTTTCTTTATTTTACATGGTTGCTGAGGACCAAACTCAGGCCTGTACAGGAAGCACTCTACCAACTGAACCGTCTCTCCAGCAGCTATGTATTACTTTTAAAAAGACACTGAAAGGGCCCAGCCTCTCCACAGCCTCCTCAAATTTTTTCCATCTTTTCTTATTCTTCCTCCTTTTACAATAACCCCCTAAGGAGGTGATGTGGGAGATTTGGCTTGTATTTCTCTAATGATTAGTGACACTGAGTATCCTTTCTTCTAAGGCCTATTTATTTCTACCTATGGGGAGTGGGATGTGCACTTGAGTGCAGTGCTCATGGAGGTCAGAAGAGGGTACTGGATCCTCTGCATGCTGGAGTTATAGGTCATTCATTGTGAGCAACTCAGCCTGGATGCTAGGAACCCAAGCAAGAGCTCTTAACCAAAATGAACAAAAGGACAGAATACAAATTGTCTTAGGTTTCTGTTGCCATGAAGAGACACCATGACCACAGCATCTCTTATAAAGGAAAACATTTAATTGAGGTGGCTCACTTATAGTTCCGAGATCTAGTCCATTATCCTCATGGCAGAAAGAAGAAAGGATGTAGGAAGGCATGATACTATTGAAGCTGAGAGTTCTTACATCTTGATCAGAAGGCAACAGAAAGTGAATTGAGGCACTGGGGGCATGGCTTGAGCATATATGGGACCTCAAAGCCCACCCCCACAGTGGCACACTTCAACAAGGCTATACCTACTCCAACAAAGCCACACCTCCTAGTAGTGCCACTCCCTGAGTTTATGGGGACCAATTATATTCAGACTACTGCACAGATCAACATGTAGCATCACAGCTAATGAAAGTGCAGGGTTGTGTAGCCCAGCTCTAACGGATGCATCTACAAAACACTCCAGCACCTAAGGCTGAGGGAACGTTAGAAAAGAGGGGCAGAAAGATTGTAAGAGCCAGAGGTTCGGGGAGTTTGCTGTGAGATTGTCTCCTAGTAATCTCAGAAGCTACATTAAGTCTACACCCATAAAATCTCACCAACATAACTGCCTAAGCATGAGATGAATAAGGATGATACCAATAGACATGCCATACTGGACAGGTAAAAGTCTAAGAGGACTCAGTCCTACACAGAGAGCAGCTACAGGAACTGAGCTGGGAGCAGGAGGAGAGGTGGTCTTCTCCAAGGAAAAACACACTACCTGGTTGTGTGGTGCCAACAGGCAGCCCTAAAAACATATAAGCAAGTAACATTATATGAACCCAATATTTAGTAATACAATATTTAGTAATACAATATTTAGTAATACAATATTTAGTAATACACATGGATATATAAATACATGTATGCATGCAATAACAATTAGTGGAAAAATAAAGAGTCCAATGAATTTGAAGGAAAGCTGGGAAGAGCATATGGGAGAGTTTGGAGAGAGGAAAGGGAAGGGAGAAATGTAATTAAATTATAATCTCAAATAAAAAATAGTCATATTTTTGCCTCAAAAAATCACATTGTGTGGGATGGAGAGATGGCTCAGAGGTTAGGAGCATTGCCTGCTCTTCCAGAGGTCCTTAGTTCAATTCCCAGCAACCACATGGTGGCTCACAACCATCTGTAATGAGGTCTTGTGCCCTCTTCTGGCCTGCAGGCACACACATAGACAGAATACTGTATACATAATAAATAAATATTTTTAAAAATCACATTGTGTGTGACCCATGCAGAGGTCAGAGGACAACTCGTAGGAGTTTGTTCTCCCCTTCTACCATATAGAAACCAGGTGTTGAACACGTATGGTCAGGATGGGTAGCAAGGACCTTAACTGGATAAGCTATCTCAAAGGTTCCCCAAGATTACTTTTTCTCTTAGGTCTTTTCCGGCCCTTTATAGACATTGGTAAATGACTTCTAATTGAACTCAGAGTTCTTGGATGGTGTGCCCCAGCCAACCCTGGTGTCTTCTTGGCTACCAGGTTGCTATGGCCCAGGGCTAGGTGACTTTGTAGCATTGATGTCAGTGCTCTGCATCCAGCAGGCAAGGACAGCTTGACAAAGTAGCTCCTGGCCCACCTCCTTCCTCCCATAGAAGTAATACTGGTTCTACAATCACCGGGTCCTTTGCCACCCGCTTTCTTCCACCTCCCAAGCTGATGCTCTTTGCCTGCTGCTGTCTCTCCCTCCAGGGATGCCGGATGGAACTCTGGACACGGTGTGCGCAGAGGAAACAGGCAGTGAGGAAGACCTGTATGAAGAGCTTCACAACTCGGGGCACCACTACAGCCACCCCAGAGGAGGTGGAGAGCAACTAGCCATCAACGAGGTAGTGTCAAGGAGGCTCGGCCAGTGGAAGGAGGGGGTCCCTCTGCAGGTTCATGCGAGACACATGTGCAGTTGTGTTTGAAGTATGTGGCGTAGCTGGGGTACACACAGCACCCTTTATCCAGTAGCTGTTACCCCCACAGTGAGGTTTTCTTTGCACAGTGTGTTTAAAGTCAGAACTTCTCTGGGTTTGCAGAGAGTCCAGGAGCAGGAGCAATGCCAGGCAGGAGTTCTGGTAGAGCGAGCAAAGCAGGCCTTCCTGTTATTCCAGTTCAAGTGACAAATTCCGCATAGACTGTGCATGAAGCAAGGGAAAACTGATAAGCCAGTTTCCCTGTGGACACAAGCTCAGAGTGTTGCTGTTGCTATGACAACCGTGTGCCACTTAAAGGTTTCTCTGTTTCCTAGCTAAGCAGATGAAATTAGTGAGAGATTTCATCTGGGCAGAACTACCTCCCATCACAAGTTCTCCTTTCAATTTTTAACTGACGCTTATTGTGTATGCTGTATTTATTTGTCGTATGACGGGTAATGAACGTACCCATTGACTCAAAAATTTACTATTTTTTTATGTTGGGAAAATTCAGAACCTCATCCACTAGCTCCTTTGAGCTATGTGCATGTGTTCATATTGTATGGATAAACACGTGTGTTCATATGTATGCACACATATGACCTCATGGTAACCTCAGCTCTTGTTCTTCGGTCGCTGTTCACTTTGATTTTTGAGACAGGGTTTCTCACTGGCCTGGAGGTACTCAAGTAGGCTAGGCTGGCTGGCAGGTAGCCCCAGGGGTCTCTGTCTCTGCCTCCAATTACATACTGGCTTTATTTTTTTACATGGGTTCTGTGGATCCAACTTTTGTTCTCATGTTTATAAGTCATGCGTGTAAGTCAAGACTGTGCTAAGACTACACTATCACCCCAGCCCCTCCTTTAAGCTATTCACACGCACATAAAAATTTATACACACACATGCAGAGGCCACCAGTTCAGGATCTGCCCGTTTCGGCCCCTGCGATACTGCGATTACGTGTGTATGTAGCCTGGCCTTTTGATAGTGCTGGGGATTTGAACTCAGGTCTCCATGCTTGCAGAGCAAGTACTTTTAGCACTGAGCAATTCCCCCAGGCCTCTTGAGCAGTTCTTAATTGAATGCACCAGGGCTACCCCACTGTGCTACAAAGTACTAGAGGCTATACCTACTTTTCAGATGCCGGCCCCTCCACACACACACACACACACACACACACACACCCACACCACACACACACACGCCATTAACTAGCATTTCCTCAGACAGAAAATTTGAAGCTTAGGTTCTCCATTAAATAGTCACACACACTCCTGTTCTCACTGGGGAGAGGGTGGAATATAACGGCAGTGAGCTTGTTGTCCTGCATAAACACGAGCCCCTGTGTGTGTTCCTGCTTCACCCAAATGAATTTCAGGTCTTGCAATACTGAAGAGTTTTCATTAGCAGATGATTCTCAGGCAGCTGTGTTATCTGTGTGTGGACGGCCTCTGGCTAATCAGCCCATCTAACTGTGGCTCTGGAGATAAAGTCAAGAAAGACTATGCTTTCTGACCTGCAGAAGGCTTCGAGTAGATTCTAACCAGATCTGGGAAAAGATGTAGGGGGTGATTTCTGGGGATGGCTGGCTCCTTTGCCTCCCTCGGGTACCCCCTTCCCTCCCCTTGGGCATTGTCTGCCACCTGTTAGGGACTCAGCAGGAAGCTCTGTTGGGGGTTAGCATGAACTTTATCCTTGGACATTGTTGGAGCAGGAGGTGTCAGAGGAAAAGTGTCCTAGGTGATGTTTGGCCTGCCATAAATCACATACTGACTTGTACTTTCTAAGAAGTAGGTGTCATATTGTAGATTGTGAACCTTCCACGTTCATGCCACCATTAGGAGAAAAAAAGGACTTGTCAAATTCTTTAAGAGTTTTAAAGCATTTTAATGATGTCTCTGTGTGTGGGATTCCCTGGAGCTAGAGTTATGGGTGGTTATAAGGTACCAGTGTTGGATACTAGGAACCTAACTTGGGTCCTCTGCAAGAACATTACATGTTCTTAACTACTGAACCATCTCTAAAGCCCCCAGACTTCCCAAGTTTTTACAGAGATCCCAACTCCTCCAGCCCAGAGTGTGATAGCTAGTGGGGATCTGAGAGGCAGTTTGCATTCTGGGTACCTGGGGCGTGACTGCCGTGCTTCCTCACACACGTGTGCACACTGTAGGTATAGCGTGCAGATATGTAGAAGGCCGTGCTTACTCACACATGTGTGCACACTGTAGGTATAGCGTGCAGATGTGTAGAAGGCCCAGTCCTTGCAAAGGGCTGAGCATGCAGGAATGGGCTGTGTATACGATGCCTGTCTTTTCATGTGAGGAGCATGAGAAGGTGGTGCAGGGTCTTAGGCTTTCTGTATTCCTTTCACATACTTGTCCCAGGTCCCTTGGGACTGCCCAGCGCCTGCAGGATGAGTCAGCAAATGGAGCAGTTAACTGTCCTCAGCTCCTGCAAGTGCCTCTCTCCTACAGCATTGTCCAGTATAGAGCCTTCTCCAGATGCCCATGGCTTGGGCCTGGGCATGCCTGTGCTTCCTACCTTACTCAACCATACTAGGCTTCGCAGCCATGCCTGCTACCGGGCCTGAGTCCATCCTCAGCACAAGGATTTTTCCAAAAGTAGGAAGTGTCTGTCTGTGGCTCTTCATACGGCCCTTCCTTCCTACAACCACCCAGCATGGCCTCATCTCCACTACGTTTCAGTTCTGCTGTGTGTGCAGTGATCTGGGGAGAGGTGGTGAGGAACCTATAGTCTCCTGTAAATCCCTTATCACCTGTGCATGGCAGCCCGTACCCTTTGGGTCGGGCCATGGCTGAAACATCCCCTTAGCTCCAGCTGCTCTCCACACAGAGGGGAGAACATTGGGGTCCCAGGGTTCCCTTTGTTACCTGTGCCCATAGCTGCTTGGATCCTTCAATTCTAGGGTAGAAGCAGAGTACAGATGGCTTCTATATCATCCTGCCAAAAGCCCAAGCGAGGAGGCAGACAGACACAAAAGGAGAGCCATAGAATGTGTGCCATCTCAAAGTGTAAGCAAGAATGCTGTCAATCATGGGATCAACACAGCGGTGGGAAGCAGAGTTGTCTCAGGTCATTTTGTCTCCCAAGGGTGCTTGCCATCTCCCCCGGCACTTGTGACTCAACATGAAGGTACTGTAGGACCCAAAGCCACCTCACTATGGCATTAGCTGACCTCTGGCTCCTGTGATGACAGACATAGCCGGCCAGGCCTGGTTCTCACACTCCCCAGCCTGAAGGAGGACCCTAACACCTGTTGGTGCTTCATTGTCTTGTGATCACTGTTGGTGCTGGAAAACCAGCTGCCTCAGGAGCTCCTTGAGACAGGGAAGGAGCAGCTGTAAGTCCCTTCAGCTCACTGCTGCCCTGTGAGCCCAGAGCTGCAAAGCCAGATGGTGGTTACTTTTCCAAAGCAGCTCCTGTACCCTCCATTATTACCCAGAATTATAGAACTTAGACTCAGCTTCCCTCACCTTAGACACCTGTGTCTCCCTTCAGGACTCAGCCTCCCTCACCTTAGACATCATCTGTGTCTCCCTTCCCCTTTCCTGTTAGTCTTGCCACCTTGGCATACCAGCTTAGGGTATGCCTGAGTTTTTAATGGTCAAGCTGTTGCCACTGTTATCTGAGTTATACCCTGAGCTCTTGCAGTTTAAAAAGCTAAGAGTACCTGGGTAGGGTCGTATCCCCACATAGTTCTTAACCCAGCTCAAACCCAAGGGCCTTTTGTCCCATTTCATGCTCCCCTGTGGTTCTGCCATCATGAGGTGAAGGTCATGCTCATAGCTGGGGCTGGTCCTCTCTGGATCTGGCATAGCAGTGAACCAGAGTGCTGTTGTGTGACTTTACCCCAGGATCTGAGGGAAGCAAACATATACTCACCTCAGATGGGGTACTAAGAACAAAACAAAGAAACCCAAGTCTAGTGTCTAGCTTAGTAAATGAATGGGTTTACTGGGTTATGCATAAGAAAAAACGGGTATCATTGGAAGGCCCAGCATGCCTGATGATTCTCAAGACAGCTCCTCTTCTTGGCAATTGTCATCCTTTATGTAACCCTCGGGAGAGGTCTTGTGAATCGTGTATGTTTTAGGAACTTTTTGAGAACTATGAGTTGTACACCTACTGGATTTTCTAAATTTTGTTTACCTTCTGAGTCTTAAAGGACTTAGTTCAAAGACGGAATGTTTGATTTCAGTGCCTACCGTAGACCCTGCTATGCTAAGGTACCTGGGGATGCAGAGACTACCTTCTCTCTATGGAACTACAAGTCCCAGCGTCACTCCAGTAGATGGCAGGTCCCCAGCCTTAGAGGAAAGTTAGAAATGGAATGGCAGTGGCCCTCGGATGTCTTATGTCTACCTGCATTAGTCTGCTGCTGCTGCTGCTGCAATGAAACACCATGCATGACCAAGGCAACTTCTAGAAGAAAGAGTTTGCTTGGACGTACAGTTCCAGGGGCTAAGAGAGAATTGCGGCAGCAGGTGGCAGACATGCAGTAAGGACTGCTGAGAGCTCACGGCTAGGACTGTAAGCGGGAAGCATAGAGAAAGCCACCTCTAGTGACATAATTCCTCCAACAAGGCCACACCTCCTCAGCTTCCCAGAACAGTGCTGTCAAATGGAGATCGAGTATTCACATGCCCCAAGACAATGGGAGACATCTTTTTCAAACCACCACGTTCCCAAAACCCTTTGAGGAATGGGGGGAAAAACCTGGTACCCAAGATTTTCTGCAGAACTGAGTAGACGCAGTACCCCAGATCGATGGTCTAGGCTGAGCCTGTAGTGCAGAAGGTAAGCTGCCCCTTCAGATCCACAGAGGCACTCACACATACACACCAGTACATGCACAGATAACCCCCACACACACCCACAGAAGTGTCTCTCCTCACAGATACACATGTATGCACATTGTACACGGACCACACGTGTACGCGCCTGAGCTCTTCAACAGGGTGATGACAGGGATCAGGGGACAGTCACCTACACATGAACACCGTGCTTCCTCTGCTGTGCCTCCCCCACCTAAACTACAGTCGGTTTCAGAGGGCCACGCTGGTAAGACCGAGACCTCTGCCCTGTTGAGGTTGCGGGTTCTGTTTGGTGCTGCCAGTGAAGAAGACAGCTGTGTGTCCGAAGGCTCAGAACCCTGTTCTGGTGGTTGAGGCTGATCAGTCAGGCCCAGGTTCAGATTCTTCCCCCGGCTACCCTGTTTTGCTGGGCGTTTGTGTGACAATTATCTAATGTTACAGAGGCACACTCATTTGTGAAGCGATTTCCTAAGGAGTCTTATTAGAATTAAGATCCCTTGGTCCTCTGGGGATTTGCCTAGAGAGTGGAGTACTTGCTTAGCAAGCAGGAAGCCCTGCTTTTGATCCCGGAACCACATAAACCAAGCATGATGGTTCATACCTGGAATCCTACCTCTGAGGAGGGTGGAGTAGGCAAATCAAAATTTCAAGGTCATCTATATAAAATATATGAATTAAAAGCCAGTCTGGACTATATGACAAAACTCCTAACCCTACCCCACCCCCACCCACACACAACAACCAAAGATTTCAGCTCACTAGGGAATGCCTGGGTCAGCTAGGTCCCCAGGAACCCCCAGGACTTCCATGGCTATCTGTGCACCTAACATTGTGTGGATATTAGAGTCTTCTAACTCTCCCAGGGAAGTAAGTGCCCAGGGCGGATCACAACGCACTTGCTCTTCAGAGCCGCAGCAACCCCGTCACGCGATTTTAACAGGTCCCCTCCCTGCCCCCCCCCCCCCCCGCAACTCTTTTCGCCCTGCACCCACTGAAGCCCTGGATGCTCACCCAGAAAGCTAGCTGTGAGGGAGGAGCCTGGCGGGTGAGCTCAGGCGGCTCCGCCTCCTTTCCGACGCCTCCGGCTCCAGCCCTGAGCTGGGATCTCCCGGCGCTAGGAGCCCGGAGGTAGGCCGGGCGTGATGGCCAAGCCCCCGCAGCCCCGGCGTGGCCCCGCAACGCCTGGCGGCGCCCTCCGCGCCCTACTGCGCTGCAACCTGCCCCCGGGCGCCCAGCGCGTGGTGGTCTCGGCTGTGCTGGCGCTGCTGGTCCTCATCAACGCCGTGCTGATATTCCTGCTGGCCTTTCGCTGAGCTGCACGCGCCCGGCACCGCAGGGAACCGCGCAGGGTGAGTGGCATCTTCTAGCCGCTGTCACCATGCAGAGGGAAAGATTTCCCCCAGCCCCACCCCCAACCCCGTGTGCTCACTGTCAAGGCCGATCTGGGGGTGCCCCCGAGGATGCCACCGTGAGGGTGACTGAGGGGCGTGGTGGCACACGTGCCCAATAGGCCTTTCATCAGTTTTCGAGGCTGGGGAGGAGGGGGTGGGGCAACATGGCGGGTCTCTGACTGAAGATGTTGGGGGAACCGTGACCTGCTAGTGGGGGCTGTTTGGAAAGGGTGTGCGTTGGACTGCAGGGCATGTATTGTGTCGGGGCTGCAGGAGGCCTGCAGAGGATATCGGGGCTCCTCTGCAGACGATACCTGCGTTTTTGTTATTTTAGGCCTTAAAAAGTGCCAGTCAGTCTCCTAGGGCAGCAGCCACTCTGAACACACCCTCCTACCACATCCGGTGTTCAGGGACAGCTTGGTGAGAAGGCGCCACCACCCCGCATGTGAGAGGAACACAGGAGGTGGGAGGAGGGCGATATGATAAAGGAGATGATGGTCCACTGGGGTCCGTTTAAATCACAGCCTCCCTTAGAGCCAGGCAGAACCAGAGGCACAGGAAGGAATTCTGCCCCTGCCCCTGGCTTATCTTAATCTTTATCTTACCTGGGTATAGGCACAAGCCCCACCTGCCCCCAGATGCCCCTCCACCTCAGAGGCAGCCAGCCAGCCTGCCTCTGTCTCCTCCTGCCAGGCAGAAGCCAGCTGGATTCCTGTTCTCTGCGGCAGCTGGAGAGCCGGATTTAGGAGCAGGTGCACTTGATGGGGCCGAGAGGGGCTCTGCAGAGAAATGAACCGAGCTGAAGCTGGGGTTCGCCTCTCTGATAACTCTGTAAAATGTGTTTCTCGCCTCTTGGAGCCACATTTTGCTTTGGCAGTGACATGGACATGGTTGGTTTCAGAGCTGGAGCATGTTAGCCTTCCCTTTGTGATACCCATCACGCGGAGAGTCTGTTTACTGCTGTGCTGATGGGGGACGCAGCGAGTTCGGAGGATATGCTCAGAGACACGGCAGTGTGTCTACTGGATGCTTTCTGTGTCTGGAGGCGACATTGATGACCCGTGCCTCCTTCCCACACAACAGGCTTCCACGTGACTGGGCTTTTTGGGACTTGTCAGTAACGCAACCCAGGACCCTCGTCTCTGAAAAGCCCTGCCTTTGTCCTACACCCTCAGTAGCTGTTCCAGCAGCAGGGTAGGATCCACAAGGTCTACCCAGACCACAAAATAAGGAGAGGGCTGCCTGCCTCCCTCCCTCCCTCCCTATGTTTGAGGGAATCCGGGGACGGAGGGAGATTCCCTCACCCAGTTCATACAAAGCAGGAAGTTGGACCACGAGAGTGCCTGGGTTGCAGACCCCAGATCCAGGCACATTCCCTGTTCTCTCTCACTGGCTTCCACCTCTTTCTGCTGTATCTTCAAGGCTTCACATGACAGCCCACTGCAGGAAGCCTGCTGGCTCCTGGCCTGAGGCCGACTGGCACCTACTGTGTGGTCCTGCTGAGTCCTCCTGTCTTATACCAGCTGTGTGTCAGCCAGACTTACCCGCCGAAAGTCACTGTTACAGAGACAGTGAGCCCAGAGGTTGGAGGGCTGCTGTCCCCAGGAACCCAGAGCCCTGCTAGGATCTGTGTGGCTTTGGGCACAGAGATCTCTAGGGCAATGCCTGACACTTGGGGCAGAGGTGCCACTTATCTTCCTGGGAAGAGATCCGCTTTCCTGGGCTGATGCAAGGATTCAAACAGGAAGTCCCCAGGGAGGCCAAGGGAGAGCGCACAGGGTATAAAGCAGCTTAGAAGAAGCAGGACTGGGTTGTGAGGGGACCTGCTTGGAGGTGACCATCTATGTCTCTGTTGGCTAGCCAAGGAGGAGGCCATATGCATCCCCTACCCCACTGTATCCTGCCCTTGGCCATCTATTCATAAAGCAGAAGACAGCCTTTGAATCAGAATGAGGGACCGAGGTCCAACCATCCGGGCCACCTGGGAGGGGCCGGGGGCAGGCCACACAGTAGTGAGGAGCTCATCAGCCAGTCATTGGGCAGAAAGATCCCAGTGCGTGTGTGAGTGCCAAGGCTGTAAGGAGCAGTGATGTCATGTGACTACTTCTGCAAGGGTTTTTGTTTGTTTTTTTGTTTTTTTGGTTTTTTTGTTTTTTTAAATAAAAGACAATGAAAATGACCCAGCTGCTGTGATGGGCACTGTCATTGGTAAAACAGCACTATTAATTGGGTGACCTCACAGGCAAAAACCTGCAGAGGGAGCAAGTTCCCTCTCTTAAATGGCTACCTAGGAGCGTTGGTAGCAGCTGCCAGTTGCCACGTCGCAGTGCACATCCAGTCCGGGATCTCAGTGTAGGGCACTGTAGCTGAAGGTGTGAATGAATTCTCTTCTGGCTCCCTCACTGACGTGCCCAAGACACAGCCCCCCCCCCGGGGGGGGCGGGGACAATGGACGGACTTCATTAGTTTCTCCGTACAGCAGGCCAGGATCCCTGCTTCCTGGGCTGCTGGGTAAGAGCAGGTTAGGGTAGCCTTGCCTCACTGACGCCGCTGCCTTGGCTCTCTCCACAGCTCATTAGTGATGGCAGTGTGGTATGTGCCGAAGCCCTGTGGGACCATGTTACCATGGACGACCAGGAACTGGGCTTCAAAGCCGGCGATGTCATCGAAGTGATGGATGCCACCAACAGAGAATGGTGGTGGGGCCGCGTCGCAGATGGCGAGGGGTGGTTCCCTGCCAGCTTTGTACGGGTATGGCTCCAGTCTGTTCTTTCCCCAAACTTCTGAAGATTCCTGGCTCTGCTCAAAGTCCAAGCCCCAAACAGCTCTGCAGTTCCAGGCATGTAGCATGGGCCACCCCCTCTCAGTTTTGGTACCTCAGTTCCAGGAGGCATGGAGCATGGACTCTGTTTTGCTGTTACTTGGTAACTCAGACTGGATGGGTGGGGGTCAGAACTGTGACAGACATTCTGCTCAATCACACACACACACACACACACACACACGCACACGCATGCACACGCACGCACGCACGCACACACGCATGCGCACGCTCTCCCAGGCTCTTGCTCACGGTCCTCCCGGGCTAGAGAGAAGCACAGGTCAGAAATGTAAGACTATGATGCTTTAGCATACCACTGCTTCAAGCAAACCATGCCTTCTACCCACAACTATGTTTTCATTGAGGTGTGCAGGGAACATGTAACATACAGACAGTCTTGAGAGCTAGGAATCTCAGGAGGCATAGACAGTGAAGTCATACCCAGGAGAGCAGGTGACCCAGTTCCAACCTTAGGCTGCATCTGGTCACCAGAGAAGGACATTTTGATGTAGACTCCCAAAGGGAGGGGATTCCCAGGTACTCAAGAACCCCTCCTTTGCAGACCCCCCCCCCGCCCTTTCCTAAACTTAATAGCTAACCAGCTGGCAAGGCCTCTACCTGGCACCTGGTGAGTAGGTCTGGTTCAGAAATTCCTAGTGTTTGCTCCAATCCCTGCTGAGAACACAGCCCTCCTAGAGGGGTGAATTTGACATCAGCTGTGGTCATCAAACCCCACCATCCCTCGCCCTGGCCATGTGCCTAGGAGGTAGTTGCAGGGAAACTGCAGGTATGCCCTGTGTGTCCCTCTGTGGGAGCTACTGACCTCTGCTCCCGATGCCCTGGAGCAGAGTTCAGGGAGTGATGAGGAGGATGGCAGGCACTCGTCTGTTTTGTACTGTCTAGCTGCGGGTGAACCAGGATGAGCCCGCGGATGACTATGAGGCCCCGCGGGCCGGGGCTGGAGAGGCCGACGACAACGTCCCAGAGGCCCAGAGCTGCAAGGACCAGATGCGCACCAACGTCATCAATGAGATCCTCAGCACTGAGAGGGACTATATCAAGCACCTTCGGGACATCTGCGAGGTGAGGAAGGCAGGCAGGGCTTGCTTGGCGAGGTGAGGATTATGAAATGTGACCCTAAGCTATGAGTAGATGAGTAGAACAGGATGGGTGGGGCCGGGTGGTGAAGCAGACTGGTGCGCGGGGGGAGGGGGGGGGCGGGGGGGGCGTGGCACGTGGAAGGGCAGGCAGGCGGGTCCCTAGAGAGCAAGTGTGGGCCCACCCCATCCCCCAGGGCTATGTCCGCCAGTGCCGAAAGCGGGAGGACATGTTCAGTGAAGAGCAACTGCGCACCATCTTTGGGAACATTGAGGACATCTACCGCTGCCAGAAGGCCTTCGTGAAGGCTCTGGAGCAGAAGTTCAACACAGAGCGGCCACACCTGAGCGAGCTGGGTGCCTGCTTTCTGGAACACGTGAGTGTGCCTGGACACATCCTGCTAGGTTCCCTGAGCCCTAAGGCAGCAGTGCCTGCCCCTCCTACCCCCTACTCCCCATTGTCTTTCTGCATGGCTCCCTTGCTTTATGTCTTCGCAGAATTTCCCACACCAGGTTCACAGATAGAAGCTGCTAGTCTTACTGGGCAGAAGCTGTCTTGTCCTCTGCTAAAGCAGCTAAGGGATTCTCTACCTTTCAAGGTCTTACCTGCTTAGCCTTGATAACCCTTCCTGATTTGATTTCATTAAAAGATAAATAATGCATAATCAGAATTCCTCCTGGAAGCCCTGCTGGGAAAGCTGAGTGGCTCCGAGGATGGGCATGGTAGCACAGGTTTTTCCCATCCCTGGGATGACAGCACATAGCTTGTACCCAGCCAAATTGGTAGAACCAGTTCCTAAAACAAATGCAGAGATTCCTGTCCCTCTCACCTCATGGCTGTGGCCTGTTGCCTGGGCAAACAGGAGACAGCCACCCTGACCTTCAGCTGTGCCCCCAGCAAGCAGACTTCCAGATCTATTCTGAGTACTGCAACAACCACCCCAACGCCTGTGTGGAGCTCTCCCGGCTCACCAAGCTCAGCAAGTATGTGTACTTCTTCGAGGCCTGCCGGCTGCTGCAAAGAATGATTGACATCTCCCTGGATGGCTTTCTACTGACCCCTGTGCAGAAGATCTGCAAGTATCCCCTCCAGTTGGCGGAGCTGCTCAAGTACACACACCCCCAGCACAGGTAGAGGGCACGAGGTGGTAAGGGGAACTGCCTGAGACTCTGCATGCCATCAGGCAGCCAATCGAATATTTATAGTGTGGGTACCAGCTGCAGAATGGTGGGTACTGCTTTGGGCACTGGGAAATAGCTTAGGTAAAGCAAGCCCACCACCCTGAGCTCTACTGTAGTAGGGGAGGATATACATCAATGGACTATTAAGCTGTTCTACCTACCAGTTATGGAGGAGAGAGGCTATGTACCTGATGGCTGTGGCCATGATATACAGCCCAGAGGTGACAACTTTACATGGAGGGGCCTCTGGGGACTCTACAGCTCTTTCTGCTCCCCAGTTGGCTGCACATTTCTGTCTCTTCTGCCCCAGGGACTTTAAGAACGTTGAGGCTGCCTTGCATGCTATGAAGAACGTGGCCCAGCTCATCAATGAACGGAAACGGAGACTTGAAAACATCGACAAGATTGCTCAGTGGCAGAGCTCCATAGAGGACTGGGAGGTGAGGGCCCTAGTGCCCAGAAAATACTGTGGGGTCCTTGCTTGAAAACTGTCCTTGTCCAGAGGGGAACAGAAGCAGGGATCCACTGCACTCCCAGGACCTACTGGAATACAGGTTCTCTCTTGCACTGGGCCTTTCCTTGGTGGTGCTTCCACCTTGGCACGTAATGGTCTCCTTCCTGTGTACATCACCACACACCTTCTAGCCACCACCAGCCCAGGGGCAGCCCTATCCCAAGGAACTGTGTTTCTTAAGACATCTTGGTCTGTTTCTCTGCCTTAAGAGACAGGCTGGACTGCTAAGCTTTAGATACCTTCTGGAATTGTCAAGAGTTGAGATTAGAGCCAATGGTGGGCCTAGAAATGGATCCTCCCATGCCAAGGCTTTGTCAGCTTTTCTGAGCTAAGCATTCCCACGGATCTGCCAGTCTTGCCCCTTCTGTAAACTGACGACTATCATGCCTGCTCCCTAGAGGTGTGGGGGCAGGAGGACTCTGCTCCTCTGCACCCGGCAACTAGCCACCTCTAGCCTGTTCCCATCTGGAGCCATGGCATGCCATGCCAGCTGTCAGGATAGGAAAGTAAGTGGAAGCATGCCCGAATGAGCTACAGAGAAGTAGAGGCATAGGCCCTGTCCTTACACCGACTCCTAAGCCTTGGGCAGGAGAGCAGGACAATGCAGTAGACTGGTTTTGAGCCCGTGCTTGGTCAAGGACTGGAGAGCACAGTCATCCCCAAATGGACAGCTGCCAACAGCGCCAGACTGCCAGTTTCGGGTCCTAAATACATTCAGCTGCAGGGGCAAGTTCCTGCCAAACCTATTTTTTTTCTCTAAAGCAGCACTGTCCATTCAAAAGAAAGCATGAGCCATGTCTAGGATTCTGTACTTTCTAGTAGCCATCTGCCAAAAGTAAGAACACAGTAGGGTGGGGGTGATGGCTCAGACGATGAGGCCCCTGCTGCGCAGGGCACATGCACATGGGAATTCCGATTCCCAGCACCCGCATAAAAAGCCAGGCATGGTGACGGCTGTATCCCAGTCCGAGATGGTTAGAGACAGGATCCCTGAAGCTTTCTGGCCAGCCAGCCGGAGTCAGTGAGATGACTGAGCAGGTAAAGGTGCCTGCTTCCAAAGCTGATGTGCTGTGCTTGGTCTCCAGGACCCCCGTGGTGGAGAGGCTCCTGCAAGGTGTCCTCTGACCGCCACACACTTACTGTGGCATGCGGGTATCAACCCCTCCCCTCCCACAATAAATATGGTTTAACAAAAGGAGGGAAAGTGATGAAGACACCTGGTGTTGACCTCTGGCCCCCACACTCACACATAAGCGCACATGTGGAACACATACATACAAAATGAAAATGACTTTTATTTAACTCAGTACATCCAAATGTATTTTCCAGTTTCCTACCCTTTAAGTCACTGTGCACCTTACAGTGGCACATCAAGTTCTCAGAAGGCCCACAGGCTACACTGAAGTCCTACTCCACAGGACGGTCAGGCTGCCTTCATTCACCTCCCACAGCCACACCCTCAAGGCCCCAAGGACTGCTTTGGGCTTTAAGGGTGTCCGTTATCCCCTTTTGTTGGCCTGGCACAATTCGGGCTACAGTGTGGGAAGGCTCACCAACAAGAGAGGCAGGGAGTAGAGTCTAAGGTTGGGTGCACTTACCTCATGGCTCTCCTTGGGGTTCACTCAGGGGGAAGATCTCCTGGTCAGGAGCTCAGAACTCATCTACTCGGGGGAGCTGACCCGTGTAACACAGCCTCAAGCCAAGAGTCAGCAGAGAATGTTTTTTCTCTTTGACCGTCAGCTCATCTACTGTAAAAAGGTATCCGAACCACCCTGCCTTGCTGGACCAGTTTCATATAGGAGAGCAGTAAGGGCTGGGGTTCTTGTCTAGAAGTCAAGGGCCTGGCAAATTCTACCCTGGTCATTTCCTGTCTCCAGGCCTTTAGGACTGACTGACTATAGAGCGAGCCCAGGGACACTGGGTAGCTGTTGGAACAGTGTGCTTGCTGTTCAGAACACCCTCCTTCCCGACCTGGTTCCCTGCCTGCTCCTCAGACCTCTCCCTTCCTGCAAGCCTTCGCTTCCTGAGTTCTCTGATTCCCGCAGCCTCTGGCCTCTTTACTGCTAGCTTCTGCTTCTTTCAACCACAGCACATTGGCCCCATGCACGAAGCCTTCCTTGTTCTCTCTGCTCTCCCATATCATGTGGGCTGCTGCTTTAGTTTCTGGGGCTTTCTGCCCACCTGTCAATGTGCACCTCAAAGACAAAGACTGTCCTGTCTGTCCATCAGCGGCTGGGGGTGGGAGTGGGCGTGACCAGACAGGCTGCTGGGCAGCCAGGGCTCAGGGTAGCATCTGGCAGGACCTGCTCCGCCGGGATGTGTTGTACTACAAGGGCCGGCTGGACATGGATGACCTGGAGGTGGTGGATGTGGAAGACGGGAAGGACCGTGACCTCCATGTGAGCGTCAAGAATGCCTTCCGTCTGTACTGTGGTGCCACGGGCGACAGCCACTTACTGTGTGCCAGGAAACCAGAACAGAAGCAGCGCTGGTTGAAGGCCTTTGCCAGGGAGAGGGAGCAGGTGCGGCTGGACCAGGAGACAGGTGGGAGACCCTGCTGGGCCTTGCCTAGTTTCTGGGGCCCACCTACCAGGTGCTCAGCGCCATCTTGAGAATGAGATCATGCCTAGGGCTAGGTGAGGCTGCAGAAACCTCTCGGCACAGGCTCTGCTGTGCTCAGCCCTCTGGCAGAAAGGGCCCTTCCTCTGTGGTCAGCCTCACTGAATGTGCCCATCTGTTGAGACCGGGGGGGGGGGGGGGAGTCCCTTTCCAAACCAGCTTGAGCCCTGGGAGAGCATGGGGGTGGTACTAGAGTCCTTTCCCATCCTTTCCTATGCCTAGATCCCCAGCTTCATGCTGTGGTTTGGGAAAGCATAGAGAAAGCAAAGCTGGAGGAGAGAAATGGGAAAGGGTCATAGGGTCAAGGGAGGGAATGAAGTGGTGGCTCAAGGGATCTTTGCTCTCTCCCTTGGTTGGCAAGAAAGGGTGGTTGAGCAGGTGAGGGAGCAGTCCCCTGCCGTGCCAGCCTGTAAAGTATGATAGGCACGGGGCACCGGGAGGACAGATATTACCTGGACCAGGAAGCCCTCCAAAGGAGGCACATGAGGAGTTGAAGAAGGCAAGGCGGGATCTCACGTGTGCCCTTCCTCCAGGTTTCTCCATCACTGAGCTGCAGAGGAAGCAGGCCATGCTGAACGCCAGCAAGCAGCAGGCCACAGGGAAGCCTAAAGGTAAATGGGGAACCATCCTACTCCTCGGGCAGTTCCAGCATTGATCACGTTTCCATCTGACCTCAAAAGCAAAGCCAGCTAGCCATCTGGGTCTTTGGAGATGTCCACTGTCTTTACGGGTGTATGTTTCCAAAGGAGATAAGGGCCGCAGATGACAAGAGTGGTTGGTCAGTACAGTTTTCGCTTGACACCTCTGATCTCCTAGTGGTACCAGGGGCTCCAGTGCTCACTTTCCCAGGCTGCTAATAGCCACATCACAGCTGCCTGGGAGGGAGCCACCTCTCCCTCTCCGTAGATGAAGGCAGGCATCCCATGCCTTGGACAGTGGCCCTGGCCAGCCTCAAGCCAAAAGCTCTTGATACCTTGGGGTCCTGTGTATTGTGGTTAACCCCCTGGAAAGCAGATCCTGTGTGACAAACTACCCCCACGAAGAAGTGTCTGCAACAGAAGCCACAGATGAACCCCTCTGCCTTCCACCTTGTGACCCCTGCTGTCTCTCTTGCCCAGCTATCGGCAGGCCAGGCTACCTGACCCGCCACAAGCATCCATCCTTGCCTGCCAGCCGGCCCCAGCAGCAGGTGTTGGTGCTAGCAGAGCCCAGGCGGAAGCCATCTCACTTCTGGCACAGCCTCAGCCGACTGGCACCTTTCCGGAAGTGAGCCAGCACCTATCAGACAATCTGACAGCACTTGGTGGAGCCAGCCTTCCCTCGAGGCCTACTCCATCACGCCCTCTGCCTGGTTTGAAAAGTGGAAGTGAACGGGTAAAGCACCAGAGCTGTATTAAGTCTGGGTCCCGCCTCTGGCCTCTTCCCCACTGCTAGTGCAGTGTTGGACGGGTACCAGCCTCTGCCTATACTCTGGACCTGCGCAGGGCCTCCACCATGGTGAGCCTGCAAGCCACAGCTCAGAACCACCACTGGCCAGGCTGTGCAAATCGGGCTCATCTGCTCTGGACGTTCTTTGGAAAGCTTATCTCCACTCCTGTTTCCTCTGGGCAGGAGACCAAAGTCTGTGGCCATGAGCCACTGCAAAAGCAGGTGTGTGCCCCTCTGCTCTTCATTTGTCCTTCAGGCCCCCAGCCCACTTGCAACTTCGGAGGTCAGGAACCAGGAATTCTGCACTCCTAACTCTACTCATAGCTGTCCTTATGCTTCCTGGCTCCTCTAGACACTGCTGGCTGCCAGACACCCTCTTTGTGACATGTGCAATGAGAAGAAAACCATAGTCAGCCGTGTACTTGGTTCCAGGTTAGTGGCAGTTCCCTGTAGCTGGGGTGGCTGTACACAAACCCAGTCCCTTTTCATTATGATTCTGTCGTGTTGTTTCTCTAACAATGGAGAACTGTTAATGACACAGAAAGATTGCCTTACCTAGTGAGTGTGAGAAGCCATAAGGACTGAATTCTGTGGCCTAGCATGGACTGACTCATGGGGCACACAGCCAGGCCTGCATATCGTGCAGAGCCCATAGGATTCAGAAGCATGGTCAGTTACTCTTGCACTGTACCTTCTCTAATCCAGAAACCACATTTAATTTCATAAAGAAACTTAAGAAAAGTAACCTGGCTGCTGATCAATTGTTGATGTACGTGTGAATTATTTCCTCTTCCGTGTGCTGGCCCATTCCTCCTGGGGCCTCAGCTACTCTGTTCTCAGCCTAGGGAAGTGTTGCTCATGAGGCCACAGGCACAGGGCTCCTGGCAGAAGTGGGCTAAGCTACTGTAGACGCCCAAAGGGAGAAGGAGGAAAGCAAGTGAAAGAGCCACCGACAGCAGTGGGTACCCAGACTCCCTCCTAGCCCCTGGAGGATCCAGGTAATTGGCATATGTGAGCTAAGGGGATGGGTGTGGTGGTATTTCTGAGTCCCAGCATCCTCCTCACTGAACTGAAGGACACGGGAGTTTATGTAGAGAGTTACACAAGCCTCCACCTCCTACATTACCCAGGAGGACCCCCTCCACTGAACACACAGCCTCACCCCAACCTGCTGGCAATCTCCTGCCTGGGAGAAGTAGCAGCATATGCCAGTCAGGACATCACCTCTGACAAAACTCACAAAAGAAAACAGAATATGCAACACAAGTCAATCTTTATTGAAAACTGCAGTATTAATACATAACAATTCCTGTTACAATAAACGTGCTTTTAAGGATTTTAAATCTGAGCTCATCTACTCATCAGATTGCATAAAAAATTAAAACAGTATGAATTTACATTTAGTTGAACTGGCTCGGGATGGACAGTCTGTCCATTCCTATTGTATTGACACATAAGTTCAATGAAGAGGCAAGGGATGCCTTTAACACTGGAAGACAATGCCGACTTAAGCATAAAAAAAGTACCAAGAAAACAGTGTAAAAAAGATTATTTAAAAATAAAAGTTTAAAAAAAGAAGAACCTTTTCTTTCAGTCACAGCCTATCAGGCTCCTTTGGGGCCTCCAGCTGCCACAATAACCCTTCTGGGAGCCAGTCCCCAGTGTGACCTAACTGGTCTATACTGCCCACAGTCTGCACCAGACCCACCCACAGCCTTTCCCTGGGAGCTGCCTGCTATGCCAATCAGGTCCTCGCATCTCATGTACAACTACGGCAGTTCCTAGACCAAAAAGCTGCTGCCTCCCATCCCATAATTCTAGTAAGATTTATTCCACAGGTTTTCTGTTCTTCAAATGAAGATGGGTAGGGGGAAAGGAATCCTATAAGATATGGGGAACAATTTTAACTATTCCTACGAAACCATATTATCCTTTCTGGGAATCAGTCCATCAAACGTCGAAGACTGGGCAGGAGAAGTAATTCAAGAACTATGCAAACCCGGGAGGTGCACTTGACATGAGTAAGCTCCACACTCTACTGTTCAGCCAGCTGCCCTCCTGCCCTCCAGCAACCTTCAGAAAGCACCAGAGAAAAGGACCAGCAGCTGTAACTGCCACTGCACCCTAGGAGGTCCTGTGCCATGCAGCAGTCCAGGTACACAACTACAGATGTCAGCTGCCGAATGAGAGGTGGTCCCACAGTAATACTGTACTCCAATACTCAGAAAGGAGAGCTGAGGAAATCTGAAGCGGCACCAGTGTTTAAGGTTTATGCCTGCCAGCCTCTCTCAACCACAGGCACACTCACTCACAAAGGCCCAAGTCAGAAGCCGGTGAGCTCAAAGATCCCCAATGAGATTCCCCTCACTCTAGCATATCCCCAAAGAAACATCCATTACCCCTCCTGTTAGAAACACCACCTCCGCAAAACACTCAATAGCTGCTCCCCAGAATGTTGGTCAGCCAACCGCCACTCAATGGTTCTTCCAAGGAAGACCACAAAACAGGAGACAAAAGTTCTGGAAGAGTGTACTCCTTCCATGCCTGTAACCTCACTAGCCCAATCCTGATGGTGGCCTTACTTCTCAGGGAGCTCGCAGGTTCTTTAAAAACCCAACAGTGCTACTGAGCTTTAAACTACAAATAGCAGCAGCAGAGGAAGGCAGCAGAGAATAAACTTTAAAAATTTAAAAAAATTAAAAAAAAAAAACAAACCCGAGCAATGATGTCCATGTTCACAGAATCAGGCCCTTTGCCTGCCTGCCTTATTTTCTAAAAGAATTCAGCTGAAGGACTCTAGTTGGGAATGTTACACACATAAAAAGCACACTTTCTTGGAATGTTCCTCAAAGTTTTGGGGATACCTATGCAGCTGTGTAATAGAATACTAGCCCGAGTTCTAGTCCTAAATTTTAGACTGCTGTTGAACACCACCTGTGACAGTCTGTTACTATCCGTATGCCCAGATTTTCACCTGACAGTGATATCTGTCCCCAGCAGATTCCACAGGTGATGGCCTGATAGTTTCACAACAGAAAAGGCTTCCACACAAATGAGCTGGATAATACAAGTGTCTGATAGCCACTCAATTCAATTTGAAAGAAAAAGAATGGTCTGTTACCACTTACAGGGCAAGTGTGTGAAGCTGAGGGATCAGCAGGAGGGGATGGCATCCCACTATTCTTTCTCCTGAGAACTCGGGGCCTGTGGAAACACACACTGTGTGCAGCTGCGAGCAGACCCAAGGACTTGCTAACTTCCTGCTGTAGGCAAACAACCCTACCCTTCACAGGCAGAGAGACAGGTATGTTTAGTTGGGATGGGTGAGGGAGCCTTTTAAAACACATGCGAAATCACGGGTACATTTGTTCCACTATCTATGATCATTCACTTGGGAAAACCATCATCTCTGTTGGGTCCAGGGGAAACCTTGGAACCAGCAACACTGCAAACCATCCACCGCACAGATGGGAATCCCAACATGAAGTAGAGATACAAGCTATGTGCCTACAGCAAATGTTTCTATCTGTGCACTGTGTGCATTCTTACTCTACACACACTTAGACATACACACTCACACTCACCCCACACACACACAGTTAAGTGCTCATGAGGCAATTAAACATATTCATCCATAAACATTCTATGTTCATGAATATTAGGAATGAGAACTCTTGTGTTTATACTGATCCATGCAGAAATTTTCCACAGCTTCTTACAAAATAAAATGCTAGAAACAAATTATGAAGAGCACGACTATAAAAATAAGGTTTCCAAAGGCTCAATGTTCGGATGACCCACCCTCCAGTCAAGCTGATTGCTAATGAGGCGACCTCCACACCAACCTGGAAGCCCTGACCTTGCTGCCAGAGACAAGCACCCCTTCCAACCAAAACCCAAGCACTTCAATGGGGAAACAAAACAAAACACATCCCCACTTGACGGCTCCCAGAAAGGTCCTGCCCTTCTGACCCACACTGAACAGAAACACTCTCACAGATTCAAGCTGGGCATATACAGGCAAAAAGAACCTTCTTGATATCTTATGTACATACTCAGATTACACACTCAAAATCTTTCTCACAACACATCTGGACAGGCAAGTATAGTCCAAAACTGTCTGGCCCTTTCCACTCTCCACATCTGCTTGGTTCTGAGTGCTGTCAGAAAAAGGTGGCAAAATAGGCTCACAGGACATTTATACAGACTTTCAAAGCCTCACCCCAGCTAGACACAAAAGGACAGGTCATCATCAGGTAAATGACCCCGGGACAAGTTACATTACTTCTACATTTTTAGACATAATCTCAGCCCTGCTTCTCTACAAGAAACATGGGAACTAACTTAAAATACACTTATTCCCTTTTAACCAGTCTTAAATATACACCACTCCACAGCACACAACTGACATCTCTGCCCTTCTTTGTGGGTGAATACAGCTGTGCTTGTGTGTTTTTAGCGGACTCAATTATTTCTCAGGGGGAAAGAAAGGGACGATTCCCTAAGCGAAATAAAGCAAAAGACAATACCACCTCAGCGCTCCTCTTTGACATCCTCCTTCCTGGGAAGACAGTGTAGTTCTACACTGGACTTTCCCAACAGTCCCAACAGATACACAGAACATATCCTGTAAGATGCACAATGGAAATTCAGATGGCAGAGACACTGCTCTCCTGACACACAGACCACTCATCCCAGCTCTACTGGCTCCCAGCTCTTGTATTTCCTGGTGGGCTTCAGTACATCCCTGCTTCTCAGACCACACTTGAGCTGAAATGAAGGAGAGGACCCTACTATACCTGCTGCTGCTCTGGAGCCACCACAGACTCACTCTCTCCCAGTCCCTGCAGCTCCCTCCAGGTTCGTCAGTGCCAAAAACACAGGTTGCTGAAAACTACAAGTCTGTGTCCCTACCTGGCAACCCTCACCACCCCAAGAAGCCCCTTCAATACTCTAGGTGCTTCTTGAGGACATTCACTTGCACACGTGTAACTTGGAGACTCAGCATACATGACAACAGTGCATGAGTGGCACAGGCTGTAGAACACAGTCCAGTCCTTTGGATTCTGCATGTGATGGTTTTGCATCAGCCACTGCAGGTAGATTGAGCAAGCTTTTTGTGTTTGTTTTTATAAACATGCATTCAACTAGATATGATTCAGAATAGAGCAATACTCCCTTTTTATCATTACAGTTAGCTAAAAAAATTGCCAGGCAGTCCACAAAACAGGATTTGCTTTAAAACCAACCCAGAGTTAGTTGGAGACTAGCGAGCTGGGACCTGCTGGGCTGGGATGCAGTCGTGTTTAGCTAAGTGTCGAGAGCATTAAGAAGAAAGTCCTGGTTGGAGGCACAAGGCCTGCAGCACCAGCTGTGGAACCCAATGAAGTGACTGCACAGCTCCATCCTCAAATCTGGGAAAGAATGACAAACAGTCATACAGGCTCTTGGCACCTCTGCCTCAAAAACTCCAGAGGACAGTAGTAGCCACAACTGCTGTACTTGTTCCCCATACCAGAGATACCCTGTGCCCCATGCCCCTATTCTAACTGGAACCCTACAAACTGCAGCAAGCAGAAGGGTGAAACATGCCCATTACAGAAGCAGCAAGATGCAGTGTGAAAAATTTAACACTCAATGGCCTCCTTTCTTCCTCTGCTTTGGGACATCTCCATAAGAATAAAAACAAAGTTCTGCACTGTCCCCATGTAAAGAGCAGGTGCACCTTTCTCTCAGTGCTTAGAAGAACAGGAGCTGCTTCCACCAGGCTGGCCTGTAGGCATGTTTGTGTGGCATTTACTTGACTGCTAATTAATGAGGTACGGTCTAGAGGTGTGATCCCTGGGCAGGTGGACTAGGAAATTTAAGGAAGGTAGCTGAGCTCTGGAGGGAGCAAGCCAATCAGCAGTCAACTTCCATGGTCTGTGCTTCAGTTCCTGCCTCAGACTCCCCTTATGGTGGACTAACCCTTCCCTTCCCCAAGCTGGTTTTGCTTAGTTTTATCAGCGAAGCAAACTGGAATAGTGCTAAGTCTGAGGTCAGCTTCCCACTTCCTCAGGGAAATGCTCTTCACCAGGACCCGCTCAGCCAGCATACCTGATAGTACTTACATTAATTTGCAGGGTAATCACCACTGAGGGGGCACATAGCTGTAGGTGGGTGTTCCTGGGGCTCGGTATGTGGGGACAGTGACTGGGTGAGGGGCGACAGGAGTTGGAGAATGAGCAGTCAACAGGGTACCTGGAAGAAAGGGAAACACTTCATACAAAAGGGACATGTGACCTCTCCAGAGAGCAGATCTTCACCACGTGGCCTCTGAAAAAGCACATGACCTGAATTACTTGTGAAGGGATATACAAGGGAAGAGGAACGGTCTTGATCCAGTGGTCAAAACTCTGTAACAGACTATCCCGAAGTGCTGAAAGGTATTATAACCACAGCAGTCTGTGGTCATAATATGCTTGTCACTCCCCTTCAGGTCATACACACTAATTCTGCCAGATGACATGGCTATAAAATGAGAAAGGGAGTATTACTGCCCTTAAAAAGGAAAGAAATTCCGACATGTGAGTACCCGAAGTGAACTCTGAGATTACTGTGCTCAGTGAAAAAGCCAGTGAGGAAAGGACAGCACATGTTCCCACTTACATGAGATTCTGAAGCTGTCAGATTCAGAGACAGAACACATACCAGTGGAAGGAAAAAGAAGAGTATTTGTTTAATGGATAGAGGGTTTTAGATTTGCAGGGTGAACATTCTGGAGACCCGTTTCACGGCAGCGTGGGTATACTTAACACAGAGCTGTATATTGGAGGGAGGGAGAGAAGGGGAAGAGAGACAAAAACAGCACACACGAGAGATAGGGAGGAGGAGAAAGCGACAAAGCGTGAACACACACGCACGGGGTACTCCTATATCCCATAAGCATGTACACTCAGCAATGGCCTGCATGACTGAGGTTAAACCCCGAGGCAGCAGCAGTCTATGCTAGTCTTCATTTTAGCAACAAACTCGGACACATCAAATGGAGATTCTAAGCAGAAATAAACAGAATCTCACGGATCTAAGTATGACAATAATTTCCTTATGTTGAAGTCCAGGAAAATTTTCTAAAGAATGTATTGAAGCCAGGTGGCGTACACCTCTAACCCCAGCACTTGGGAAACAGAGGCAGGTGAATCTCTGTGAGCTTGAGCCCAGAGTGGTCTACAGAATGAATGCCAGGACAGGCTCCAAAGTTATACACAGAAACCCTGTCTCGAGAAACGAAACAAGAACAGCTTGACTTTTTTTCTTCTTAAATCCCAGTCATAGGGAACAAATGACTGTGCATGGAAAAGCTTAAAGGCAGCAACATATACCGAAAGGTCAAGAGTGAAATCATCCTTAGGCCTTCCTTCCAATCCCATGCTTCCATTTTCCTGATTCAATGCATAAATGGCACAGGGTTTCTGCAAGCAGCTATTCCCTCTAGCAACACAAAACCAGCTTTTTTGAACACTTCCTCATTACTGCAGCCTGACAACAGAAATAGCTGGCCTGTCTGGAACACAAAGTATCTACCCTACTGTTCACACTTTAGCTGCTCATGAGTAAATGAGGGCTATCTGACACTCCTTGTTCATAATGCCAAATGGCCACCTCGCTCACTAACAAAGCATGCTGTTGAGTTATGCTCCACAGTACAGGCTACCTGACTCATGGCCTGTTCCTC